GCAGCGCTGTACCTCCAGCGCTGTGCTCCAGCAGCATGTCGCCAATCCTTGCACACCGCAAATGAGGAAGAGCTCTCCGCTCTTCCTGAAGATATCGCGGCCTACCGGCCTCCTGGGCGGTGACTTCCTAGGCCAAGCGGCCTCCCAGCAACCGGTACCTCCTCCTTTTTTTGGAGGGAAACATCATTGCAGGCTCTATTATTGTCCGCACAGGCCCTAGACCCGGGCGACTTGGACTGGTACCGGCCTACCTCTAACCTACCGCTACTGGGCCTCTAAAAATGCCAACTTTTTGTCTTCTTCTGCTCGGCCTACCTGCTACTTGAGTGTTTTTCCCCAGCTGCTCTAAGTGCCGTGGGCCTACTCCCCGCTACCGGCGTGTTTACCCCCCTGCAACCCTTCAAAGTCACGACCACAGGTAAGTACCGGCCCGGTGGGCCTTGCAACCAACAAATACCCTTGCGGGTCACACACACATACCCAACCAGCAAGCACTCAGACAGGCATGCAAACCAGCAGGCACGCATACACACAGACTTGGGACCACAGCAGAATGTGGGAATCACAGCAAGGCATTCATTCCATTGGCAAATCCCAGAATCAGCAGTGTTCCCAGTCTGTGTTTCTGGCGGGTCATTACATTACTCCCCTCTCGAGAGCGAGGTCCCTTCGAGCGAGTAACTCAGTCAGAGTCGGTACAGAACGCATCGTAGAAGTACATCAGAAAGAGAGACTTGTTCAATCCATGAGAAGTCATTGTTGTTACGAACTTAGCAGTGTGCCCCTCGGTGATCTGTCTTCCGTAAGCGTTTACAACACGGGGAACACTTTTTAGCAGCTCTTTCCGGTCGATCCATAAGAATTCAGTCAATGGGTGATAGAGGAAGTGAACCTTATACTGTCTATTCCTCCCTCTACCCTCGTGAGATACGATTCTGTCTATCTCATGGCCGCCGTCGATAGGGCGAGGTATCATGGGATCTCGGAAGGGAAACGTCTCATCATCAATGTGTGGGAACAGTTTGGACGCATGAAAGACCGAATACGTGCGCAAATGAGGAGGCACGTCAATCACAAATGAAGGACCAAAATCATCCCCAACTACCTTCAGAATCTGCCAAGGCCCGTAGTATAATGGAAGAAGCTTCCGTGAGATGCCCTCTTTGTCAGAAAACTCAGACATTTTGACCCAAACGTAATCCCCAACTTTGAATTTTTCTTCTTTGCGCAGCTTGTTAGCATGTCTGATCATGGCATGCTGGCGCTTGTTCATGGCTGCAGTAACAGCTCTGAGCAAGCGTGCGTACTTGGCGTTATAGCCAGGCATGCCGGGCATCAGACCAGGTGACTGCTCGGGGAACAGATAGGAGAGGGGATTGCGCATCGGCCATCCATACTGCAGCTGGTTTGGGGTCACACCAGTTGCAGAGTGAATGGAGTTGTTGTACAACCCCTTCACTTTGTGTAATTCCTTGTCCCACGTGTTCTGATCTGGAACAATCAGTGCGCGTAGCAATTGGATGACGGTCTGGTTGATCTCCTCGGCCAATCCGTTGGCTTCGGGGTGTCAACCAAAAGTCCTGTTCAGTTTGATGTCATAGATCTAAGACGTGAAGTTTTTCCAATCTTTGGTGATGAATCTGGTGTCCCGATCGCTCACAATGGTTTTCGGGACGCCGGACTGCAGAATGTACTGCTGATGGAATTCCTCGATGACAAGTTCAGTAGGGGCACGAGGAGGGAGAGGAATCAAGTTCAGAAATTTGGAGAAGCGGTCCACAATGACCATGACTTGTGAGTTCCCAGCCTCACTCACCTTTCCCATGTCCGTGAAGTGGATGGAAATCGACTCACCGGGTCCATCAGGAATGGGGAGAGGTCTCAGTAGGCCATAAGGCTTATGCCTGTGGACCTTGATTCTTTGGCATACCTGACATTCAACAATGAATTTCTGAGTAGATCCTTTCATTCCTGGCCAATCAAATTGCTGCAGAAGACTTCCATAAGTCTTCTCAAAGCCAAAATGTCCACTCCCACCATGCGCCAAATCCAAGAAATGAGTTTGGAGAGGCGCATGGTTGGGTACACACAAACGATCGAACTTTCCATACCGGCGGAACACAAGACCCTCGCATTCGTGAAAATCAGGCTGACTATTAGGGTCAGCCTTGAGCTGCTCAAGGATGGGACTGAGGTCCGGATCCTTGGCGGTGTGTTCAATCAGATCCTCCTTCAGTTTCCTTCGGAGGTCGTATGAACCCACAAGGCAAGTCAAATACTCGGGATGGCGCGACAAAGCGTCATCGACACGGTTATAACCGCCTTTCTTATGTTTTAACTCAAAACTATAGACATCAATGTCATGCAACCAGCGGGTCAATGTAGGAGAGAGTTTAGATTGTGTCTGAATCCACTGCAAGGTCTGACGATCAGAGTAGACCTTGAAGTGGCGACCCAAGAGGTAGTGCTTCCAATGTGTGAGGGGTTCACGCAGGGCGTAAAGCTCACGCATATACGTGGAAGTAGCTACCTTGTGGCTGGGCATGCGTTTGCTGTAATACTCGAGCGGACGCAGGTCATCACCATCATCTTGTTGGAGCACTGCACCAATCCCGAACTGGCTCGCATCCGTAGTAACTACGAACGTGAGGTTGGGGTCTGCAATGCGAAGCACAGGATGACTCACCAATACCTCTTTCAAGGCTTGGAACGCAGACTCACACTTCTCACACCATGCATAGGCAACATTCTTGCTGGTTAGTCTTGAGAGCGGGTGAGCAATAATAGAGAATCTGGGTACAAACTTCTGGTAATAAGAAGCCAAACCGAGAAAAGAACGCAGTTCGCGTACGTTTGCCGGTTGAGGCCAGTTTTGAATGACCTCAACCTTGGTTGCCTCCGGCTGAAGGCCGTTTGCAGACAACCGGTGCCTGAGATAGATGACACTGTCCCTACCAAACTCAGATTTTTCCAAGTTGAGGTGCAGTTGAGCTTCTTTGAGGACTTGCAAAACCTCCTCAAGACGCTTGACGTGCTCATCCATGGATTCGCTGAAAATCAGAATGTCATCAAGATACACAACCACAAACCTGTTAAGCTGATGGCGGAGTACCTTGCCAATGAGGCACTGAAATGTGGCTGGTGCATTCGTCAGACCGAAGGGCATAACGATGAATTCGTACAACCCATCGCGTGTCTTGAATGCAGTTTTGTGCTGGTCGCTCGGATCAACTTCAATCTGGTGATAGCCAGACTTGAGGTCGATCTTAGAGAAGACTTTGCAACCACCGACCGCATCTAACAGATCATCTATACGAGGCAAAGGGTAGGCATTCTTCCTTGTGATTCAATTCAAGCCACGATAATCAATGCACATCCGGAGTTTGCCTCCTTTCTTTGGCACAAACAAGACAGGTGCGCCAAATTCAGACTCGCTAGGCCTAATCCATCCACGATCAATCATATCATCAATTTGTCTCCGCAGCTCCTCCAACTCGCCTTGTCCCATGCGGTAGACACAGCCCTTTGAAGGAGCACTTCCTTCTATTATCTCGATTTTGTGCTTGACTGGACGCTCGGGAACTCCGCGAGGTTCAACCAACACTTCAGGAAATCGATCTAATAGATGGCGAATGTTTGTTGGGATTTCTGGTGGAGGATCATCCTCATCAGGAGACAGAAAATCAGATTGGGAATTTACAGCAATTACAACCGGTTTCGAGGTATTTGGATCAGAAATAGATTGATCATTTACAGTAGAAGTAGGTGGAACAGAAGTTGAAGTAGTAGAGGTAGAGTTACCTTCAGAGGTAGAAAATGCAGCAAAAGTAGAAGGCACATGGAGAGGCTTTACAAGAGCTATATGTACAAACTCAGCTTCCTTGCGCCTGCGCACTGACCTGGAGAATTTGTTAGCACTGAGAAGAGTCATTGGGGACTCGCGCGTCTCATCTAACAAGACGGTACGCTCGTTCCCCTTGGCGTCAAGTACCACGAACTGGTTGTCCGCCCACGTGGTCCTTAGGCAATGAGCCTTTAGCCAGCCCAAGCCAATGACCGCGTCGAAAGGACACTTGTCCAGGACGTACAAATTCAGCTCATGTGTGACAGTGCGATCTTTGTCAAAGGTGATGGGCACACCTTTGACAGCATGAGTGGAAGTGACAACCTCTTGGTTGCCCACCTGAGTCCGGCAAGGGTTCTGCAGTTCCACTTGCTTCATACCGAGGCCCGCCTTACGAATCTCGTTCGAAGAGAAGAAATTAGTGGTCGAATTATTGTCAATCAGCACACGGATGTATCGGCGGTTAATGAGTAGTTTAAAGAAAGTCAGTTTTACGCTCCCTTGAACACGGCGTTGCTGCTTGAGCTGCAGCCAACGCTCCATGTAGGCGTGGAGGTCGACCTCTTTAGACTCCTCCCAAGGCTCGGTGTATAACTCTTGGACTGCATCAGCCTTGGAATCAGCATTAGTTTGGGCTTCAAGAGCACGCTGCTGATCAGACCCAGGCTCCTCGGAAGGGTCTGCAACTGACTGCCCAGCTTCCCTTGCTGTAGAGAGTGCTGATGACTCCTCTACGCTCCTTGCCTGTTTCCCTGAACACGATAGCAATCCTGCACAGCATGCCCAAGCTTTTGACAATGCAAGCGTACGCGCAGTTTGGATCTTGTTTCCCATTCCTTTTGAGTGATGCGGAGAGTTTCCCAAGGCTTGGTAGAAGCGTCCTCCGGTTTCTCAGGGATCTTAGCATTTTTGGGAAGGTGTATGACAGTTCCCTTACCCGAACCACGGTTAGGACCCTTATTTGAAGCAGTCTTTTTTAATGCATTAAGTTTTTCATCGTCATTTCTGTCGCACTCAATGGTTGATGCGGAACAGCCGGTATCGGAGTCCGGCTCTAGATCGTCATCTAGAGACAGATCATCCGCATAGGACTGATCTTCAGCCTTCCGATGATCGTGCAGTGCAAGCTGGTTGCTGCTTCCAAACTGCTTGCGTTGTGGTTTCCCACCTGCAGTGGGCGCCTTCTTGCGCCTGGCGAGGTCCTTGGCCTCTAGGTTGACTAGGTCCTTCATGAGCTCTCGCCAGGTGGCATGGTCCTTGAGTGCTAGTAGGGAGAGGTATTCTTTAGGGGTCACTCCCATGACTACATCCATACAAAATACGTCAGTTATTCCCAGATCCGGAGTGGTGAACAGACCAGTCAAGTGTTGTTCCAAAGCCTGCATGGATGACCTCCAAGTTTGGCCCTTGAGGGCCTCAAGCTTCAGTCTAGCCTTGAGCGCAACATGTTTATCTTGGTACCGGTTAAGGAGAAGATCCTCAAGAGTGCGGACTGGGGTGACCTTCAGCCAATCAGTCAGGTCTATGCGTTCATAGCCTGCAGCGACAACTTGGAACTCAATGTGGTTTCGTACGGAAGGCTCGGTATTAGTCCCCATGATCATACTTCGGTCCTCTTGCGGTGTCCGCATGACCTCGAAGTACGACCGCATGGAACTAATCCAAGAGGTGATGTCTGCCTTCCCATCGTACTTGGACGGCAGCGTGGCCGCCCGCTTGTCCACCATGGGACCGCTGTACTGAACGTCAGTAAGGACTGTGGCATTTTGGGCTGAAGTCCCTGCATTCGGGACCATGACCAGCGCAGAACTGCCGGCGCTGCCGCTCGAGGAGCTGGCACCGGTTCCTGCGCTTGCCATGGTTCCACTTGATCTTCCTATGAGGGCTGTGTTTGATTGAGAGACCGGGACTACAGCAGACCGAGGGTTAGGAGGGCGGGGGGCAGACAGTTGGGATTGTCTGAGGCTGGTTATCTCAGCCTGCAGCTCTTGGTTCCTCTGCTCTAGCGCTGTTACGCGGGCCTTGAAATTTTCCAAGTTCCGCAATCGAACCAAGGCTGCGATAGCAGTAGCTAGCCCCTCCCGGAACCGGTCAGCATTGGCTTCCGGGACCTGTAGGAGGGACTCCTGAGCAGCTATACTTGTAGCTCTAGTTGCTGCCTCTGCCTCCCTTTCCTTCTGCACGGCATCATCATACAACTTTTGGAAGAACGGTTTATGGCTCTCGTCTGTTGCGTCCAACATGGCCTGCCATTGGACAGATGTGATGTCCGCCATGCCGGAGGAAGGGATGTTAGTAGAACTCTCAAGAGGGGTCTGCTCTCGCCTGACGTTTGGACGAACACTCCTCTTGCCCCTCCTCACACTCTCAAACAACACACCTTCTCTCTCCCTTTGTTCTATTTTCGCTGTCTGCGCACGCGTCTCGATACCGGACATAGATAGTTCAAATGAAAGAAACAAACTGAAAACCACTCAGAGAAGAAGGTAGAACTCCTAGCCGGATCGGCGAATCATTTGGACTTAGAGCGTGGCTGTGGCATACTGCGTAGCCACACGGGCCCTACAGGGCCCGTCCCAGACAGTCAGCCTAAAAGCCTAAAACTTAGGGCTTACAGGCCCCGGAGACATTTCAGCCTGACAACCGAATTCAGGCCCTACAGGCCCTAAAACGGTTGCCAGACTGAAGCCTAAAACTTAGGGCTTACAGGCCCCGGAGACATTTCA